ATGAATGCTATGACTTTGTTAACGAGGATGTGGAGCTAATGAAAACAGTTTCCATGTTTTAATACTGTTAATTTTTGAGAACTAGATTTCTAGTATAAATAAAATAATATTTACATGAGCATCTGGAAATGAACAGTTCTGCTTACTAGAGTGCAGTGAAATAATAATAATAATAATAACAACAACAACAACAACAATAATAATAATAGCCTGGAGACAGCAGGATAGAAGAGAAAGAATCACAAACTATAAAGACCTGCAAATAGAAGTAGAATGACTGTGGCAAGAGAAAGCAAAGATAGTACCAACAGTAATAGGCTCCTTAGGTACAATCTGAAAACATCTGGAGCACCACTGGAAGACCATCAGCATTGACAAAATCACCATCAGTCAATTGCAAAAGGCAGCTTTACTTGGAACAGCTTATATCCTGCAACAATACCTTTAACACCATCAAACAACATCTGCCTATCCCAGGTCCTTGGGAAGGAGTAGACAGGTGGACAAAAATGCCAGATCCAGTCTAAACATCTGGCTGATATACGACCAACAATTATAATGCATTACAGGTTTACTAAGGATCACAGCTTACTAAAACCTATTCCAAATACAGGAATATAAGATTGCAGTCTTAAATACGTTTGCGCAGTCTTTAGCAGTGACCTCTTTGCTTTCCCATCCCTGTTAGAATTGCAGATGTTCTTCTGGAATGCATGTCCATTTCCACCCATCAACAAAGGGCCTTAATATTCCCAATACAAATTTTGCATCCCACCAACTAAACTTCCTTTGCAACTCCTTTTGGTATGAATATTTATTGGAATGGTATTTTCCCCACCATAACTTGTGGCAACAATTGGATAGGCTACCATGTCCCTTCTAAACGTTTTGTTTCCCATCAGCCACAGCCACGACAGTCAATGATAGGTGATGGGGGTTCTAGTCTGAAGCAACTAGTGACCTGTCCCTGGTTTGGGGCCACCACCTGTTTCTGTGCAAGGAGATGATTACTTCAGAGTAAAAGCTGTGAAGCCATGCTTTGCTTAATCATGGTATAATGAAGGAATCACCATTGGGTGGACCAACACAACACAGTAAACCGTGACAAACAAGTTGTCCACAGGCAAGAATGGCTGGATCCTTACAAGAAGCTAACCCAAACCAGACCGACATATTATTAGGGTCACACGGTGCTTCGGAGTGTGTGGGGTCATGGACTGCCGTTGTTGGCAACTCCTTAATCCAAACTTCTCTCTTCCCAAAAGGGCAACAACAACATATCAAAAGGGGTGGGACTTTGATCACTCGGTTGTGGCCAACATCTTGACTTTGTAGCAAGCAGCTGAATCCAAGGTAGCCATGAAGCTGCCCACGCACCAGACAGAAATTTAAACAAAGGATGCAAAAATTTAACTAAACGGGTTCTCCAACTATTGACGATTGAAATCTTTTGAAAGTTTTGAATTTTGAAAACTTGAAAATCCAACGATTGAAATCTTTCCACTGCTTTCTAGGGAATATTATAGCTATTCCCCATTTCCATTAATGTTTGATGTTAGCATTTACACTCTGGACAGGACTACACAGATATGGCATTGTGGATCTTTTGAATCGTATCAGGAGTGCATAACTCGTGGCTCCCAGACTGCACACATCCCCATATCTTTTTCTGCGTTTTCAGAAAACCCCTTGGATTACCCCACCAAATTTTGAGGGTGATAAGGTAGAAAACCTGTAAGTCTAAAATAACCATAACATAGTGCACTGAGGCTCTTGCCCAACTTTCCAAAACTATTAAGGGCAGTCCTCTGGATTAGAACAACAATGCTAGAAAAAAACCTCATTTTCATCCCAAAATGATCATTGTGACAATTCAAATAAGCAATAGTCTATTTCCCTTCCTATTAAAAGAATGTAAATGAATGTGCATCATTAACAGCATCGTGCCAATTGATGCTTGCAAAATCAAGGAAAACATTTAACAGATGCCAACATGTATTTCTTGGATAATCCATTGTGTAACTTGTTTTTCTAACCCACACCAAGTTTCCTAGGATTAAGAATCATGAGTTGTCTGCCAAATTATAGGAGGAGTATACAAACTGCCCTGCAGGTGTTTTGAACTGCCTGGGCCATCACAACCAACAAATACGGCCAATGGCAAGGGATTGTGGGAGGTGAAGTCCACAACATCTGGCGGGGAGCACTAGATTGCCTCTCCTTCAACTGAAGCTCGGCACTAAGTTAGAAATGAAAAATCCCATGAAAAGAAGCACACATTGATAGCAAAAGCCATAGAAAACCCCATTTAAGAAATTCAGCGTTGGTTAATTCCAATATTATGGAATAAATTTCCATGGGAGTGGAAATGGGACCTTCCCTAGGGTCAAGGAGGTGGCTCGAAACATGCCTGTCTTCCCAAGTTTTTTCATATTGTAGCTTTCGCCTTCTTCAAACCCGTTTTGTTTTAATGTTAGTAGAGATGCTTTTCTTGTACCTTTGAAGGCATTCATTCAGAGGGGCACAGGACAATTTCTAAATAAATATATGAACATATGAACCTGGGAGAGCTTGCAATTGTCAAAAAGAAGCTACACATTGAAAATGAAAAATAAAATCTTAAAAGACCTCTTGAAGGACTGAATGGAATCCACTGGTAATAAATACCTAAGTGCAGTGTTTCTCAACCTCTGCAACTTTAAGCCGTGTGGACTTCAACTCCCAGAATTCCCCCAGCCAGCTGGGGGAATTTTGGGAGTTGAAGTCTGCATGGCTTAAAGTTGCTGAGGTTGAGAAATATTGCCTTAGTGGTTTACTGTTGCTGGAAACCAGCAAATTCTACTGATGTCCAGGACATGCTGAAATCTCCCCTGGAGATGATTTCAGAAAGCTTCAATGCACTCTGCTATCAGTAAAGCTTTCCCCCTTTGGGGTAATGATATGATATATGATGATATTTAGGTATTTATTGTCCTCAGAAAGATCTTTTTCCGTCCCTTTGAGTAGGTGAGACAATCTCACTACGCAGTTACCAAGGGAGCAAAGAGAAGTTTTACCATTTTCTCTGACAGGATAATAAAAAAAAATTAGGGCGCAAGATTCTCATAAGAATATTAAGGCTTTGTCTGCAGCTTGGTCGTTACTAGAGCTTGACACATTTTACCATCACCCAGATTAGGGACTGTGATGGGTCTTCTTTCATGCTGCGTGTATTGGGGGTGCATTTATTTTTTTTAAATATTTAAACCACCCTTCAGTCTTGTGGCTAGCAGGAAACAGCACATAACCCAACCAAATCATACAGCACAAATGAAACAGCGGAATAAAACAAATGGCCGATCTTTTTCTGACTGGGCAGGGCTGTGCAATTTATACATCCAGGTGTGCGAACAGAGCCCCTGCCTACAAGTCCTTAGAAAGGTGTGGCTGTGCAAACCCGAGACCCCTCTTTGCTTTAAGGCAGTGTTTCTCAACCTTTGCCACTTTTAGATTTGTGGGCTTTAAATCCCCGAAATTCC